ACTACTCATAGTTGGTAGATGTGTTAATTATGTAAGGATTTTCATGTTCTCTGTCCACTGTTAAAATATTGAATTATCATAATCTGCAGGTGTTTTAGAAAATGAAATTCAGGAAATGAATAAAGAAAGTTCTGATATGGATATGGAGATTGATCAATCTGATGAAGATGTGGAAGTAACAAGTACATCATCAGTAAAAGGTTTGATTCAGTGATTTTTGGATTATTAATACTCATGTAAACCCATATTGTTGTTTTGTTTGATATTAACCAAAGTAGGGTCTTTTAGATGGCGTGAATTGATTGTGGCTGATGTGAGTTTAATATCAAAATCAGATATTCATGAGATATCCATTTAAAGAGTTTCTTTCATCACTTTCTTAGGACAATTTACCCTATAAATTAAATTTCGAAGGCAACCTCGCGGCTTGAGCATTTAGGATTGAGTTGAATTTTTATTTTTCATTTTAAAAGGCCAAAGTTCTATTGATTAATTGACACCACTAAACATTTGCATTTCATTTAATCATTTCAGTTAACTTGAAGAAAAAAAAGAAAAAACCGTGGACAGAAGAACAGAATCTTGTGCTAAAGGAGAATTTTTCTTCTTATCTTAAACATGAAAACATTGCAGTACGTAATGAGGACATCAGAAATATGTTAGCCAAATTTAAGTGTTTGAATGGACGCACACTTCCGCAGATCAGATCCAAATTAAATAATATGAAACTCGGCAAATGTAAATGATAACTTTTCATGTTAACGGATTTATTGCCTTTTGATAGAGAGTGCATAAGGAAGCCTTTTAGACTGGAAATTAAGTTTTGTAGTGAAAATTTAAAATATACTATTTCTGGCTTGAAATTTAACATTTTGTTCATACACATCTTGTAATGGTATCTGTTTCCTTCAAGTGTTAAAAAAGATAAAAAAAAATCATGTTATTGTAATTTGTTACCCTCTTCCATCATGCATAGATGTCCAGCTGTTTTGTTGAAATTGTCACAAGAAAGATGAAATAAGACCATGTTTGGTTTTTAAAAGCAAAATTTGGCATTAACAATTGTGGTAATGGTACATTCTTGAGATCAAAGGGCAAAGCATTTGCGATTGAAATTGCAATATTGCATTGAAATCAATGTGAAAGTAAATATTATTGTACAGCAATTGGAGGTGACTACAGGCTCTGTATACAGCCTAGCCTCTTCACTACCCAAAGCCTACAATAGATTAAGATTCTCCACTAGCTTTGGTTGACTATATGGACTCTGAAAGGTTTGGCAAACGCAGTTGCAGATTGGCATTTGATGCTCAGCCCAGCAATGTCCAAAATGGTGCAAGATACCAATGTTTTTATTTGTTAGTCTTACAAGGCAACCACCTCCCACGTGTTCGTTTGCAAAAAGAAAGAATACAGAGGGACATTAACTTCATTAATTACCTCATGCGTGGTAGATAAAAATTGATCTCCTAATCTTCTTGCTGGGCTGTGAAGGGAGAGAGTATTATCCCATTGTGGTCAAAGGGGGGTAATATTAAGCCATTGTGGTCTTTTTTATTTAAGATAAGAGGATATCACAGATTATTCTTGATATTGTTGTGGGATATATATTTTTTTTGGGGGGGATAAGCTTATGCGATATACAGGCATATAATTTATATATATATATAGCCCTTACTCTTTTAAGGGTCATATACGATAATATAGCCCACATACTCTTTTAAGGGTCATATACGATAATATAGCCCACATACTCTTTTAAGGGTCATATACGATAATATAGCCCACAAACAATATTGTGGGGTATATTATCTTATAGGTCCCTTAAAAGAATAAGGGTTATATATATATATAAATTATATGCCCCTTAGAAATGAAACCCCACATGACAGGTCAAAAATCAAGGTGCAATTTCAGTATATGTATAACTGATATGTATATAACTATACAACTGATATGTATATAACTATACAACTGATATGTATATAACTATACAACTGATATGTATATAACTATACAACTGATATGTATATAACTATACAACTGATATGTATATAACTATACAACTGATATGTATATAACTATACAACTGATATGTATATAACTATACAACTGATATGTATATAACTATACAACTGATATGTATATAACTATACAACTGATATGTAA